CCCCCCTACGTACACACTCCCTTTTCAGTGTTGCCTCCCGCACTACCTGGATAAGTTCTTCCAAACCATTGATCTCTTGTATCTTCTGTTGCCAAGTGTCGAGGTTTCCCCTGTAGAATGCTACCCCTTCTTCCGACCAGTCTGTCCTGATGAACTTGCTCCCCAGTTCCGCTCGCCTTCTGCCGTCCACCCCCTTTACCTCCACCTCCAACGGTTGGTGATCCGACTCTACCGCTTCTCCCACTTTAAACCTTTCCACCCTCTCCCACATTTCCTGATCCACCAGTACATAATCAATCACAGATGTCCCCCTCGCCCCGATGTACGTATACTCCCCTTCCTCTTTATTTCCATTCAGTATCTCCCATCCGTTCTCCTCCACCCATCTCAGCATTTCTGTTCCTTCTCCATTCCGTACAGTATCCTTCGACCGTCGTCGTCCCTCCTCTCCCCATATCTCCACCCTTCCCCCCTCCTCGCCCACTCTAGCATTGAAATCCCCTCCCATTATTATGTATTCCCCCGTCCCATCCCTCGCCATACGCATATAATATATACGCAACCAAAATATATTATTAATTAATTAAGAGTTTATTATATACAACAATCTGTCATCCATTTCCACAACCTCGGCTCCTCGGCCAATCATCCCCTCATCCATCCCTTTGTCTCCTCACCCCCACAACCATTCTCATCCATCGTTTCCCCTCTCCCCCCTCTCCTAAGATCTGCCCTAGGACCATCTCCTCCTCCCTCAACTCACTGCACGCATTCAACATATATTCCAACGTTTCCAATTCCTCCCTGCACAGCCTACACCACTTCTCCTCATCGGCCATCCAGTATCTGTTAGCTCTCTCCTCGTTTCCACAACGGAACCTAGCCACCAACTTCTTCCCTTCCTCATCTCCTTCCAATAACAAGTATCTAGGCAGTCCCTCCATAATTAAGCCTTCCCTCTTTTATTTGTGTCCTCCTTTCCTGTCTCTGTACATCTCGGTCCCTATCTCTCAACTCCCTCCACATCTCCCTACCCACCCTTCGTCTACCATTTATCTCAGTTACCGAGTAGCCCGCTCGTCTATAATAGTTGTCTCTGTCTCCTTTCCCATATCTGACCTTTCCCTCTCTAATTTCCCTTCAACACTCCCCCAAGATCCCGCAGTTTGGCCTCCCTTCTATTCTTTTTCATATTTCACTGCCCTCCTGCCCGCCTCCACTCTGACCTCATCCACCTTTACCTCTTCCCTCACTATATACCCCGGTCTTTCTCTCGCCACCCCAAGCATCCATCCCCATACCTCTGTCCCATACATCATCTTACTGCTAATCAGACTTTCAAACATAATCTTCCTCGCTGCCACATTCCTTCCAAATAATATTTGTCCCATCACTTTATTCGCCTTTTTTGCCATAGCTATCACATGCGACCCCTCCCTGTTATCCTCCCTAAACACATACCACAAGTAAGTATACTCCCTAACCTCCTCGATGTCCTTTCCATCCCATCTCCAGTTTTCTGTTCTTTTTCTCCCATCCTTACAAAACTTCATCATCCTTGTCTTCCCCCTAAAATATCTTTCCAATGTTTTTATCATATCCGCGTATGCTAACATATGCACCTTTCTACCTCCCACCACCAACCCTCCCATCTGCCCCTTCCTCAGTCTATACTCCAGGTCCGCCATATACAGTCCAGAATACGTCGCTCAGCTTATCTCCCACTTTTATTCTAGCCATAGTCTCCATGTATATTTCCTTCACTCTCGGCATTAGGTGTATATTATTAATTAATTTCATATAATTCTTTTTTTATTTGTTAGCAATTATTGCAACTGTGATAGCTGCTGCTTCGACAGGAATAATAATTGGAATTATAGTGGCTGTTGTGCCATCTGCTGGGGATTCATGTTTAAGTATGTATTAATATATAAATATATAATATAACACAAATGTATCAATTTAAAGATATTGAGCCGCCGTCCAATTTAAAAGTGACAAAAAAAGAGAATCACATCGTCATACAATGGTCACCCACTCCATCAAATTGCCATGTTTATTACGCTCTTGAGGTTACTATGGACGGAGACATTAACCCTATACAATATGAGACAACAGATACGTTTTTCACTATTTCACGACTGCCGAAATATTGCACAAACGTTGATGTTGGAATAAGTGCTGTAGGAAATGAAGCTATTAGTGATGCAGTTTTTTTATCATATTTAGGTATGTCTATACTAATAATTATTTGAATAGGATTAACTTTGTATGTATACAGTTCCACCTACAGAAGAGGAAGTTAGAAATGCTATAATTAAAGTACAATCATATGATCATACGATAAATATGTTGGAATGGACGAACATTGCAGAAACATTTAATGGATGCACTGTTAAATACCGACTTATCGTAAATGACCAAGAAGTTGTTCCCGATTTAGAAACCAATCATTACTATTTTAAGAACGGATTGACTAAACAGTGTAAAGATAATGAAATTATATTGATCCCCATAGTCGAAGGAATTTTTGGAACGAAAAACGAGCTGACAGATGATGTAGAAGGTAAGAAATTAAATTGAATCTTCGACAAATAATGGAATTTATTGGATTTAGTACCGCCATCCAAGGATAAGATTAATGCTGTTGCTCTTAGTCTTGGCCCATACGTTCCAACTGCTAAAATATTAACATGGACGGATTATGAAGCCGAATTTAGCGGATGTACAGTTACTTACCGTCTTACAGTAAACGATATACCAATTCAACCTGATTTAATCACCAACACTTTTCAATTTACCGATGAATTGACTAATCCATGTAAAGATAACACAGTTAAATTGATGCCTATAGTGTCGGGAGTAAACGGGTTGGAGAAAGTAATATCCCCCATATCTCCACCCTTCCCCCCTCCTCGCCCACTCTAGCATTGAAATCCCCTCCCATTATTATATAT